TCTCCGAGAAAAGGAGAGAAAAAAAGAAAAGATGGTAAGATTAGCAAATCCCATATATGGAGTGATTATATAATTTATAAGTTATCGTATAGAAATTAGTAAAAAGTTCGACCATAGAATTACTGGATAAGTTGGCACACAAGATTAAGTTAAAATAATTTATAAAAACGTCGGGTACAAGTTAGTTCTAAAATGATTGGTAAGAGAGAAAGCTCAATATGTTTAACAATTAGGGAGCCTTTTAAGAATGAATTAGGACTATAAGGTAATTGATTAGCGTAGTTTTTACACTCATCTCGACCTTTAAGCGAGATTTCTCTACTAAGATTTTGAGTGCGTTAGAGTCAATTATTATTGATTTTAATTATTTTCTTGATCGTAGGACGAAATCCCCGGACTCAAGTTGCGTTGGTGAAATCGAGAGAAATTGGGAAGAAGTTGAGATTTGAAGTGAAGGTCAAGAGCCGAATACTGGAGGAAATCAAGAAGAAACATTATGTTTTGATATAATAATAATAAAGAGAAAGTGAGGGATTAGAGTGCAAAGATTGGTGGAGGCTTCTACTTGGCATATTACGTCTCCGTTTGGTGCACATTTTGAAGGTAATAATGGATTTTTACTGTTGATGTGATGGGAAATATTATTTTATTGAAAAATATGTTGTTGAAAATGAGTAGATAAATGAGAATGAAAAAAATAATGTGGACCAAACAATGCCAACGTACCAATCCAAAGCTTATAGAGTTCGGTTACGGATCTCGATTCGGAGTTTCCTACCAACCGCTGTCTATCACGGCTCATTTTCAGAGCGAAGTGATTGCATTATTGTTTTATCCGATTAGCCTCAGGAAATACTATTTACATCTTCCACCATAATGCCCAAACTTCATGCAACAATATATTTCACAAAGGAATTAGATGAAAAAACATCAATGCCTAGAACAAGTACAAGTTATCCATGGAATACGGGTCGACAAAACTGTCAGATTGAGATGCTGTTCGGAGTTACACCAGGAGCAGACGAAGGTAAAAGCAATTCATATGGAGGAACACCAGCACCACTTCTGTTTTCAGATGTATGTCCTTGTATCATCGATGAATAATACGTTCAATCTCAACTAATTTGGTCGAGAATCTTTCAAATAGTTGATGAACGTCAGGATCAAAAAATGAAAGTCTTCGAATATGGTGCAGCTGATTCAAGTACGCTTTATCAGGAGAATGTTTTGACAGTGTGTCTTGGACTGCCATAACTTTAGTCGCTTGGAGTTGTATAGGCAGAGAGGTCTAAAAATATACTCCGGGTCAAGAAAGAACTTGCAATCAGGATCTCCTTCCTGAGGTGTTACTTTATGCATATCAATTCCCGTTAACCCCCAAACCATCGAATTTGACAACATGATTTAATTATAAAAATCAATATTCTTAATTTACTTAACAATCTATCTCGAGTATAATTAAACATATTATCACATGTGACCCAACTATATTGGAGACTAAATTTGTAGTCATGACTTACAATTTGTTAAATTGCGACCAATTAATTTTATAATTTGTGACCGATAAATAATTCGTAACCAATTAATTTGATAATTTGCAACAGTGTAATACCTTGTGACTTATAAAATTTGTGATTTGTAATCAATAATTTTTTACTTGTCATTTTTTTATTTGTGAACAATAAATAATTTGTGACTTGTAAGATTTTTTTTATTTTGTGATCGATAAATAAATTGTGATCTATAATTTTTTTTTTTTATCGTGAAATAATTTGTGACCTTTAAAAAATTTTATTCGTGACAAATAAATAATTTGTGACCAATTAATTCAATAATTTGTGACCAAATAGTATAGAATTGTGACATTTATATATTTAATTAATAGAATATATTTTAAATTAATTATTTTATAAATAAAATTTAATTAATATCTAGTTTTTGAAGTTTTAAACCTTATTCTTAGTTTTGAAATGGGCAATACGTAATCTCTTAAATATGAAATTTTTCCAAGTTGGAATATATGTGCAAATGTAGTTTGGTACTGAGACTTCGAGTTTGTATCCTACAAAAGAAAATTAGGGATTATTTTTGGTCGTTTTTATGGTTTTAGTATTTTATGATAATTTTAGATCAGCATAGTCACTTTTAGA